CCCTCCATCTCCTCCCCCACGGACACCCCTGATTACGGCCAACAGCTTCTTATGGCTTCTTATGACGCCAGCGGCCCTAATCTGCTGCGGTAACACGTCTCGTAATTTGCTGCACCGGAGGCGAACCTCGGCCCCGACCCAAGGACCTAAACAAAGATGAAGCCTCGGTAGGGTAGCTCCATCAGCGCTCTCGTTAGCAAGACTTATAACGCAAAAAAAAAAAAAAACACACAAAAAAACATCAAACGGTCTCAACAAGTAATTTTCTTATCGTTTGGCATTCACAGGTAGTTTGTCTTGCGTTACAACTCACTTTGGGTCCCAGCCACGCAAGGCGCTGTCAGAGCACAACCCCAGCTCCAGGGTGCAGTTGCAGAAGTAAATGCTCCGCTCGCCGAGCCCAACAATCAGCCGAGCCGAGCCGCGGCTGGATCTGGAGAGAGGCGCTACATTGTGATGACGGCGCGCGGGAGGAGGGGGGAGGTGAGTGGGATTAAAAGAATGTAATAACAGCTGGAGAGGCCTGGGGAGAAAGAGACAATAACAGACGGGAGGAGAAAATTAGATGTGAGGAATAGATGACGGAAAAGGTAAGGGAGCGCGACGCTCGCCAGTCCTCCTGCTTCCTGCAGGCTGCCAGCCCACATCGACCTATGCCGGTTCTCTTCCCTCTTTCTGCTTTTACGGCTCATTTCATTTTATGTAGCCTCCTGTCATCTGCCACTTTTTTCTCTTCTTTTTTCATGCCGCCCTTTCTGGGCGAACTACAATGTTATCCGATTCATGACTGCTAAAAACGCGCAATTGCATTCTATGCCGGGCGGGGGAGACTGTCGTTTTCCGGGTGTTTATGCGTTAGCCACTTTCAGAAGCGGGGGACGAAAGTCGTCGCAGGACGCACTTGATTAGATTACATTTTTCATACCGACGGAACGGAGCCAGGCTCGGGCATATCAGCCAGAACGGAATCCAGAAATATAATATGAATCAGTTGATATAAGCAGCTGCGCGCCGATTGCCGGGAAAGAAAAATACGAGAGCCCGAAAATGGGAATTTGTGCGGGAATTATCGAGCGCGAGGAAAAGAAACCGGTACGTTGAGTCAACACCGTGACGGTACTCATCGGATGAGGGGAAAACGAGAAAGAGGGGAGGGGGCGGCGCTGACCGAGCGGAATGCAAACTTTCCTTCCCTAAACCAACACTCTGGTCGGAGGGTGGAAACAGACGACGCGCTCCACCAGTCGGTTTGTGACACCCCATTTTCTACAGCATCATCTCGAGTAAAAATTGACATGGCATGAAAGAGAGGAGCTCCCCCGGGGGAAGCGAAAGGGGCAGATTTGTTCCCATGGCCTCTCCCCTTGCCCTTTTCCAACCAGCGCGGCGCCAGATTCCCCGAAGAATAGGCCACGCCGTGTCGCCGTGGCAAACAGGAAAACGTGTTCTACCAGGCTAAACGGTTCCCACATAAATTTCGAGGCAGAGTGCGCGTCGTGTTGGGATGAAAATCACGCCCACTGCATTAGTTCCTCACAAAAAAAGGGAAACGAGAGGGCGCGGTTTTATTTATTCCACCTCTTCCATAGCGAGCCGAGTAAAGTTGAGAGAGTCTACCCCAGAACGCTTTTCACTGCGAGCCTGAGCGCGCCCAGACAGAAAGCAAACATGCGCTCCTGGCCGCCATTCGAAGTCTCGCGGGCACCGCGGTGTCAGACGGGCTGAACTGAAGGGAGGGCACAGGGCACAGGCCAGCACACGGCCAGGGCATGGGCACGGCACGTCTGGGACACGGTCTGGGCCCCAGGGATAGCGGCTGCACGAAAAGCATGCATCATACATTGGGGCCGTTTTGTCGGAAAGATTATATAAAGGAGCAGCAGCGCTTTGCCGCTGCAGTACCAACACTGAAAACATACACTGATGGAACGTGGCGCCGCTCCCAAAAGGAACGAGCATTTCATCCGGTTCGTTTCAAATTCTACGAAAGGGCGCTAGTACTAGACTTTTTACAAAAGGTAACGACGGTCGTAAGACTCACCTTGTATATGTTGAAATATAAGACGATCATGATCATACAGGGAATGTAGAATGATGATAACGATGAATATATCACAAAGTCTGTATTATAGAAAATGCATAAGTCTGGACTCCTATCTGGGGTGTTGTTTAGCCCCAGCACTATAGGAGTCCCTATTGCGCAAGACACTAACCACACCACCACTATTGTACACCATACTCTTCTGTTGTTCTTGTGCTTGGCGTACTTAATTGGTTGAGTTACAGCGATATATCTGCCAACAGAGCAAAACCAACACAAAATCCGTTAGTTGTAAGCTGTGTAGGACGTCATCACTGCGATGAACAAGATTTGGTTGGGAAATAAAGACAAAGCTCCACCCATTTAAATTACCATAAAAGTCCTAATTTCGCTGGACAAGGTGACACCATTTTGCACTAAATATTCCGAAGAAAAAGAGAAGAGAGGGTTGGAGGAAATAAATGAGGGCGGAGTAGAGCGAAGTTGGGAATATATACTACAGTTAACAGGGACAGTGGAAGCCCAGGAATATCACAGTGGTCTCGTATAGCTGAGTACACCTATCTGAGGCACACATAACTGCTACTGCCACGAGTGCTGTAAAAGGGGTGCGCGCGATTCAGCCTACCCGTTCGGTTTGAGTGCGGCCAGATTAGTAGTAGCTAACAGCGATCAAAGCGTCCAACACGACAACAATCCGCACAATGCAATCATCAGCCACTCAAACAGAGCAGATTACACACGTACCACTAAGCCATCTCACCTGATCGTGTTTGTGCACTGAGCAACAATGTTTAGGTGAGTTTACGAACAATTTCGAATCACCCAAACGTTCCATTCTCTTAAAAAAAATTACCCTTCTTCGAAGGATGAGAAAAAATAGCGTAGGCTACAGTTGCAAAAAAAAAGGGTTAATTATCGTATTTAACAGCAAAGTAGGCCTACGCAGAGCGTAGAGCCCACTTTCCTATCCAACCCCGTCGACCCAGTACAGCGCACAGTGTGTCCCCCGGAGACCTGCCCCCTCCCCCTTCCTACCGCGCCTTCATTACTCACATGCGAAATCGAGTTTACCTGCGGCTGCAAATATTTTAGCGCGTCGCCGTGCATTGTTAATGCTTATCGCACGCACAAACGGTTACGTGCACGCCGCCCGTGCGTACGTGCGTATCTCGTGCGGAGAGGAAGGGCACGTCCCTGACACACCGGGGCTAGACCGTGACAGTATCAAGGTTAATGGGCCTGGCAGCCCACACAAACAACTACAAGATCGGCGCTTGAAACGTCTTCTAAAATAATCAAAATTTTCGTTGTGTTGTGTTTGGCGAATACGACATACGACTGGCGTCGCGTCACACGCAACTCTTTGGTGGATTTGACTCCTCTGCTCCGACAATCTGCTCTCTGCAGGAGCACCACGGCAGCACAGGGGCCACTCATTAGAGGAGGCGACCAACCCGACGACGAGGGAGGGTTTTCATTCGAGGGAAACGGACCCGAGTCCGGTCCCATTTCTCATTAATCTCAACTGACAAATTAAGCCATTTGCGCTCGAGGTGACGCGGCCGAGCCGGACCTAACAAGCAGCCAGGGTGTGCCTGGGTGTGTGGGCACCGCGGCTGCTGGCGAAAGCACAGCATCACACGGTTAAGACAAACTTGAGATGAAAAGGGAAACTGACTTTCTGTCTCTTAATTGTTTTCAAAATGTTAAATAAAGTCACGAATTGTAACATCGTGGTTTGTCTTGAACTACGACGCTTTACTGACTGACCAAGTTTGACATGCACTCTAAACGTAAAAGGGACATTTTTTTTTCGGAATATGTTGCATCTTTCGGAGCAAAATTGTCCCTTCACATTTGGGTGTTTAGCTTTTGAGTTATTCCCTAAAGCGGTGCACGGTAAAAAAATAAAATAAAAAAATTGTTGATTTTTCAAGACCAGGTCTTGGATAACATTGGTGTTGTCCATAAGATCCAAGACCAGGTCATGAAACACAAGAACCCTTATTTTTGCCGTGTGATTTATGGAGCCGCGAAGTGTAAGAGAGCGCCACATTAGAACCTACACTATGCCCGGCCGATTGGCCATTACGACGCTTGTGCGCTGGTAATGGCAGAGCACTGCATAAAACATGGCACTCGCACTCGCAGTGCATTCGGCTGCACCGCCACCGCTACTATTAAAATGAGGTAATCAAAACTGACGAGACCTGCATAAAAATGGCCACTAATAGAATTTCTGGGCAGAATTGTGTCGGACGCGGTAAAATTGGCCAAAGTACATCTGGCCGCTGCCGCGCTGGCGTGTGCCGGGGCACACCGCACGGTCAATATGCACCCGATGAACATAATTCCACCGATTTACATCAGAATGGTGCAGTAACGACCAGCGTGCAGGTAACGCTGCGCTCGGCGCTGCCTAACTAGATGTAACAAACACAAAAACAAATGAAATCCGACAGCGAGAACAAGACGTCCGTCAGCAACGACGGGGGCAGGCGCGGCGGGAGGAGCTGCGCGTGTATATTCACTTAAAGAGCGCGTCGCTGTCGCGTCCCGGCCAAACACCACCTTGTCCCGACGCGACGCCTCTCGGCTCTTTGGCCTCTTTGAAATTCCGTTTCACGGGGGGAATTTTCCTAGTAATGCAGTGAATAATTCACCGCGCACAGAGGGGCTGGCGGGCGTCCCCGTCCCTACGCCCCCGCGGCCGACCCGGACCGACCCGGCCCGGCGGCCTAAGCCTCGAC